AAAAAAAAAAAAAAGAATTTACCAATAGGAAATAAAAAAAAAAAGTAATCACCCTTATCATAGGCAGATTTGAGTTTGAAGTAAATGGACCGAACGACATCTTTCCTCAAGGAGAAAAAAAAAGCAAAAACAACAACAAAAAATCAAGGAGGCAACTAAACTATGTCTGAGACAGAAGTAAAGAACTGAAGGTATGAATAAATAAATTCTAGCTCAGGTGATCTGGCCAAGAATGCAAACTTATGTGTGAAAAGTAAACTGGTTTTCAATCTCAAATTCCATGACTCCAAGAATAATGATCTTTACATAACTTCACTGTCTCTTGCAATCCAAGTTACAGACCTCACAAGAAAGCTATTAACCTTTAGTATTGAACATTTAGTAAAATATGGTTATTTAAATTCCCCACAGGCAGATTATAAAACAGGAAGCAGTTTAGTAGTTGCCTAAAGCTGGTGAGGGATAAAAAGAGGAAATGGGCAGTTACTGCTGATAGGCATGAGGTTCTTTTTGGGATGATAAAAATGTTCTAAAATTAGATTGAGGTGATGGCCATACAATTCAGTAAATATATCATAGATAACAGAGTTGCAGACTTAAAATAGGTTAAGTGATATGGCACATAAATTATATCTTAATAAAGCTGCTTAAATAAAGGAAAAAAAAAGTTCCTTTCATTCAAGTAGTTACTTAGGAGGCATACACAGAATCCAAAACACTGAAACCTTTAAAGTTAAGTATTTTTTTTTTAATGTTTATTTTTTTTAAGAGAGAGACAAAGAGCGTGAGCAGGGAAGGGGCAGAAAGAGAGGGAGGCACAGAATCCCAAGCAGGCTCCAGACTCTAAGTTGTCAGCACAGAGCCTGACGCAGGGCTTGAAGTCACTAGGCAGGATATCATGACCTGAGCCGAAGTCGGACACTTAACTGACTGAGCCACACAGATGCCCCTAAAGCTAATTATTTCAAGACAAATAAGGGGTTCCTGGGTGGCTTAGTCGGTTCAGCATCTGACTGCTGATTTTGACTCAAGTCATGACCCCAGGGTCATGAGATGAGCGCTGCACAGGGCTCCCTGCTGAGTGTGGGGCCTGCTTGGGATTCTCTCTCTCTCCCTCTGTCACTCTCCACCACTTACGCTCACTCTCTCTAAAAGTAAATTTAAGAAAAAAATTTAAAGCAAAATAAAACTCTCCAGATTTTTCTAATGTTATTATTTGTGAAGTATTTACAATAGGTGATAACAATTCTTACCCATATTGGCCAATAACCCTGCAATTGCTTGAACATCAGCTCCAAGAAAGACTTCATTCAGAGTTGAAACTACAGGCAAACACAAAGTATGAACACGAATTCTTCTTTCACCTTTGGGGAAAACATATAAATGACAGTAAGGGACCACTTATATTTAAAAACTTGTATACAAGTCTCTTGGAAAAATCACTTCCTTTTCAATTTAGAACCAAAAAGATTATTTAATAAACAGAAATAGTTTCAAAGCCTTAATGAGTAAAAACTCATTAACTTTTATTTCTTTCATTTTTTGACTATAAAATTCTTTTTGTTCAAGTTATTACTGAAAAGGAATCATAAATTATGGTAACATGTTCGCTTCTTAAAAATTTCTTTTCTAAACCTTTTGGTTACTTTCTTTCTTTTTTCTTTTTTTTTAAGTTTATTTATTTATTTTGAGAGAGAGAGAGCACAAGTGGGGAAGGGGCAGAGAGAGAGAGAGAGAGAGAGAGAGAGAGAGAGAATCCCAAGCAGGCTCCTCTCTGCCAGTGCAGAGCCCACTTCAGATTCTCTGTCCCCCCCTTCATTTTCACTCATGCTCTCTCTCCCAAAAATAAACTTAAAAAACACCACCTTCCACATGTATTCTAGAGTCTGTTTTGATATTTAAAGTCTAGAGAAATCTTATACTTTCCTCTTTAACCACAGAAAAAAATTTAAAAGAAATCGACTAATATATTTTTTTTGGTAATTATTACCCACAATAATAAAAATAAATACAGAAATAAAAATGAAAACCTTTTGGGAAGCATCAAATATCAAGCTAATTTTTAAAAATTTTCTAATCAGCAAGATCTGGAACACTAAAGTAAAAGAACAAATAAAAAAACTAGAGATGATGATATCCATATTACAACCTATATGGACACATGAAGACCAATGAACAGGTACATATAAGGAGCTCATACAAATTACTTTTAGAAATAAGAACTATCTGCAATAAAGGGTAACACTGTTTAGATTTTCTATTCTAGACCAGAATAATGATAGCCAAAAGAAAACATATAATCTTTAGCCTATCATATCAGCAACAATAACTAAACACACACCACACACACACACACACACACACACACACAAAGGCTAAAATGAAAAGGGCACTTGGTAAGACCAGAGATTGGTAACATCTTTCTGAAAAGCAACGTGGAAATACCAAGATTTTTTCTAAACAGTAAGCCTCACACTAAGTAGACTCTCAATAAATATCTGTTAAATACGATTGGTTAAGGAAAATAAATATGACACATCTTGGCTTTACCAAGGATAGCAACAAAGCTCTTAAGACCAGAAATATATTCTTTTGGTTTAAGAGAAATGAGTACCTCCAAAAGTAAGGGAGATTATTCTAAGCCAATGAATACGTGACCAAATTTTAAAAATTTCCCTTTGCTGCAACACATTGTATTTATAGTTAACAATACTGGATTGTAGACCTAAAAATCTCTTAAAACATAGATCTCATGTTATATGTCTTTGCCACAAAAACAACAACAACAATCCACGCCTCCCCCCCACCCAAAACACCCCACCTTACCTTTGCTGGATGTATACAAGAGTGCAGACTGAAAGGAAACCAACTGAGTGTCAGTAAGACTCTCTTCCACTGACATCTGTACTGCATACCCAGCATCTGGGTTTACATTAGGCAAAGACAGTAAGTCTGTTGACCGAACAAAGAAGTTCCCATGGAAGGTATGAATGGAAAGACCTAGAAGAGAAAACTTTATCAAAATCGTTTATATATTTTCATTTTATCCCTGTCACTTATCAGACTGGCAGAGAGTAAATCTAAAGGTTTAGATGTGATACTGTGATTTATGATAAGAATATATACTTGATCTTCACCCATTTCTGGCAGAGAGCTCCTAAACTCTTAGAATTTCCTAAGTGATGAGAGTCACAAAGGTATCTCTTGCTATGTTGATGGAGTGACTTTTGGCAAGAACCTAGGTAACCTAAGGATGGGGGCTGGTTACCAGAGGACCCAACCATGTGATTAGAAGGCTGGAACTTTCAGTTCAACCCCTACCCCACCAACATCCTTCAGGGAGGGGAGAGGACCTAGAGGATGATACAGTCACCAACCGCCAATAATCTAAGCAATCATGACTATGTAAATAAGCCTTCATAAAAACTCAAAAGGATGGGGTCCTTCGGAGAGCATCTGGATTGGTGCACACATGGAGATCTGGGAGGAGTGGAGCACTCAGAGAGAACATGGAAGCTGCAGAAGCTCCATGCCCTTTGCCTTCTCCATACCTTGCCCTGCACATCTCTTCCATTTGGCTGTTCCTGAGTTATATCCTTTTATAAAAAACCAGCAATCAAGTAAATAAAATGTTTCTCTGAGTTCTGTAAGCTGCTCTGTAGCAAATAAATTGAACCCAAAGAGAGGATTTTAGGAACCTCCAATCTATAGCCAGCCAATCAGAGCACAAAAATAAACAGAAACCCAAAGAAGCTACTGTGGTAACTAACTGGTTATGAGTGACACTAATACCTGAGTTGTTTGAAGATGTGTCAGCCTTATACAAGTGTTATTTGATACTTTACTTAAGATGTTACATATGTTTTATTACCAGTTGTTTCACTCATTTTTTCTTTTTATTACAATGATAATAGAGAACTCCATTTGGCAAATGGTTTGACCAACAGATTTCAACATCTATCTAGTGGACAGGTTGTGGATCCTTATCTTTTGATATCTTTTTTTTTTTTCTTTTTGGCTACACATTTCATATAATCTTTCCACTGCAAAAAAAAAAAAAAAAA